TTCCCCACCTACCTGTATAAATGACAGGTGTGCCAGTCTACCTGGATTGTCACACCGGCTATATATATATGGACACTCATGATCACTCCCTAATAATAGGTAACTCTATATGTCCAAACTATAGATAAGGTTCGTTTCAGTCAAATATTTCAATACCTTAATAAAAATTACATCTCATATTTTTTTTAAAAAGATTATGACTTTTAAATTGTCAATGCATCTTACATGTGTTTTCTTGTAAAGTAATATATAAACAGGTCCATTAGAGTAGAGATTAGGGATGATACCCTATATTGACCACACTGGGTATTACGGTGTAAATTGTTACTCGACACCACTTCACAGCCTTACTCCCTCCCCCACACTACTCCCAGGAAGATTACATTCCTCTGGCTTTCAAACCCTTTCAAATCCCTTGTAAAAGGCAGACAAATTATCTAGTGTGGGCTTCACACAATGTACCCTTCCTTCCTGCAAACATGGCCAGTCACAGGAAGCTGGTAGTTTGAATCACTTTATTACACACCATTAGCCTGTAAGGCTGTGTGCCAGTCAAACATTTGGAAAATTCAAACAAAACCCACCAGTACTCTTTCAACTTTACTTAGCGTGATACAGTATATGTAAATACATTAGCAAGCCCGCTCCTAGGATAACCTACTTGAACTTTGAAGCCACTGAAGACCCTTCCCTTGATCAGTCAGTAAAAACCCACTTCTTCCATAATTAAGAGACAAATTTTCATATTGAGGTCAGACAGGTTTGAAGTTTGAAGCTATTGAATTCTATTGATTTGATAATTAATTTGAACAGTTGATGCATACTTCATGTTTCTTACACGGTTTGAACTTTCTCAATTGATGTCAGAGGTAAAACAGTAAATATTTTCATGTAGGACAAAATATTTAATTTAATATTTTCTATTCACTTATCTATTTCATCAATCATATTTTGATGGCACACTATTAACAAATTTGTAAACTGCTACAAAATCTAATATCTTAAGATTTCCCCTGAATTAAGTTGTGCTTTGGTGGAGATATTTTCTGACAGCTGACTTCAGTTTAAAAAAAAAATTAAAAAAAAATTAACTTAATTTTCCTGAAGGGAAAGCCTTGTTTAATCTTGACAAAAAAATTGTCAGTTTAAATTATTACACCTCTACTTTATTTACTCTATATAAAAGTAATCGGTTAAATCAAATATATCCCCACTTTTGCCTGAGTGTTTTTTAGTCCTGTGTGTTAGTCTGGGAACTAAAACACACCTACACTCGGGTGTTTCCGCCGAGCCAATCCGGCGAAAGGTGGGCGGAGCTTGTTACCGAACTCGGAAGCGACGCGCGAAGTGGGCGGAACTTGCTACCGAACTCGGAAGCATTTGGCTCCATTGCCATCAAAGGGGTAGTTGGGACGTGAAGCTATACAGCTTATGGTTTGCAAATATTTTCTAGTTAAAACTATCTCTCCAGTGTGTATCGGTATAATAAAACGGTTAAAGTATGGGGTTGAGGGATATACCAAGTTTCTGGTGTCCCTTGACCATGCCTATTTCCCTCGGCTTCGCCTCGGGAAATAAACCTGGTCTCGGGACACCATAAACTTGCTATATCCCTCAACCCCATACTTTAACTGTATACTAAGGCATGTCCCTGAAACCAGTGTCTGTAGGTATAACAACGTGTACAGACCAATACTTAAAGTGTTTGTGACAGGATGCATAAACAGTACATGTCTATGCATAGGATCAATGTTTCCAGTAAAATGTGTGAAAGCAGGAAAAGGTCAATCCTATAACCTATCATCACACTATACGATAGTCAGTCTGCATCTATCCTATACTGGTAGTCATATAACTCTATATACCGGACAAACTATCCCATAATCAGTCTACATCTATCCTATACTGGTAGTCACATAACTCTATATACCAGACAAGCTATCCCATAGTCAGTCTACATGTATCCTATACTGGTAGTCACATAACTCTATATACCGGACAAACTATCCCATAGTCAGTCTACATCTATCCTATACTGGTAGTCACATAACTCTATATACCGGACAAACTATCCCATAGTCAGTCTACATCTATCCTATACTGGTAGTCACATAACTCTATATACCGGACAAACTATCCCATAGTCAGTCTACATCTATCCTATACTGGTAGTCACATAACTCTATATACCGGACAAACTATCCCATAGTCAGTCTACATCTATCCTATACTGGTAGTCACATAACTCTATATACCGGACAAACTATCCCATAGTCAGTCTACATCTATCCTATACTGGTAGTCACATAACTCTATATACCGGACAAACTATCCCATAGTCAGTCTACATCTATCCTATAGTGATAGTCACATAACTCTATATACCGGACAAACTATCCCATAGTCAGTCTACATCTATCCTATACTGGTAGTCACATAACTCTATATACCGGACAAACTATCCCATAGTCAGTCTACATCTATCCTATACTGGTAGTCACATAACTCTATATACCGGACAAACTATCCCATAGTCAGTCTACATCTATCCTATACTGGTAGTCACATAACTCTATATACCGGACAAACTATCCCATAGTCAGTCTACATCTATCCTATACTGGTAGTCACATAACTCTATATACCGGACAAACTATCCCATAGTCAGTCTACATCTATCCTATACTGGTAGTCACATAACTCTATATACCGGACAAACTATCCCATAGTCAGTCTACATCTATCCTATACTGGTAGTCACATAACTCTATATACCGGACAAACTATCCCATAGTCAGTCTGCATCTATCCTATACTGGTATTCATATAACTCTATATACCGGACAAACTATCCCATAGTCAGTCTACATCTATCCTATACTGGTAGTCACATAACTCTATATACCGGACAAACTATCCCATAGTCAGTCTACATGTATCCTATACTGGTAGTCACATAACTCTTTATACAGGACAAACTATCCCATAGTCAGTCTACATCTATCCTATACTGGTAGTCACATAACTCTATATCCCAGACAAGCTATCCCATAGTCAGTCTACATCTATCCTACAGGACAGACTATCCCATAATCAGTCTACATCTATCCTACAAGACAAACTATCCCATAATCAGTCTGCATCTATCCTATACTGGTAGCCACATAACTCTTTATACCAGACAAACTATCCCATAGTCAGTCTACATGTATCCTATACTGGTAGTCACATAACTCTTTATACCGGACAAACTATCCCATAGTCAGTCTACATCTATCCTACAGGACAAACTATCCCATAATCAGTCTACATCTATCCTATATTGGTAGTCACATAACTCTATATACAAGAATATCCTTAAACAAACTCAAAAAGTACAACAATATCTGGGATCCTAAGCACAAAATTTGATGGTAGGAACTATTTCAGAGATCCTAATGCACACAATTTGATGACAAAAGTGATTTTTGGAATCCAACAGCACAAAGGTTTGATGGTAGAATTGATTTCTGGGATCCTACAGCACAAAGGTTTGATGGTAGAATTGATTTCTGGGATCCTACAGCACAACGTTTGATGGCAGAAACTTTTACACGACTCTACACATCACTTCATCACTTTTTAAAAGAACTTAACAGAAGTCCAAATATTTATACTAGTAGTGTACATAAATTGTACTTGCATGCATATTCAGATGTGAATATGGACCCACATACTGTTATCATCTGTAATATTTGCCGTTGTATAACATTTATATTATATAACCCACATCCAGATGGCATTCATATACATATATGATATGAATGCCATGACACCATTGTCGACGTCATTAATATGACGTTATAATTATGATTGATACCTGGGCCCACTTGTATAAAACATCTCAACTCTTGAGATTTCCTCAAGTCTAAGATTTCCCAAAGACAATACATTGCTTGAGATTTTCCTTAACTTTGAGATGTTTTATACAGGTGGGCACTGGCACTACCCCCTTGGACTGATGGCTGTTTTATTAATGGTACAAACATATAGGATACTAGTATACATTATTTGTTATTATATGCATGAACATTTCTCGCAATCACATTGGTCGGATCCTTTACACGTGACCAGTCCTCAAAAACTCATGTAGACTGGTTATCCGGTGAATATCGATTTCTAAATATAGCCTGTATGGAAAATCCCCGAAACCTGTCGTAGCGCATGCTCAGTTAGACTGGAACGCGATCTGTCAGACGACATTAGAAGATGGCTGCTGGCGAACGTTTCTCCTCCGTTAGGAAAATTACCAAAACTATTCGAGGATAAAGATGTTGTTAACGTAAAAAAGGCCATTGAACACGCAGTGCATGTCCTCCATGCTTATCTTAAGAAAAAGAATCTAGACGATACCTTCGAAAGCTACAATGATGAACTGTTGTATTCAAACCTGGCTAAATTTTACACGGAGGCTCGCGTACAAAAATCAGAACCTTTAGTTTTGTTTTGTTTTATTTAATTGCTGAAGCATATAATAAAACAGTTATGGGCTTTTGTGCTGGTAAATATGATGTGATATGACCCTGAAAGATTGATATTGACTGAGGCGAAGCCGAGGTCAATATCACTCTTTCAGGTTCATATCACATCATATTCACCAGCACAAAAGTCCATATTTGTATAAAGTTAAGCTGATCAGTGTAATAAAATTTCTTTTAAGACAGATTCCCAAAATGGTAAATTAAAGTAATGAACAGATTTCAGTTGGCAATTCATAGGCAACATGAATGCCAACTAGACAAAAGACAAATCCAATATGAAGCATGCTAAGGATTTGCTTTTGTTCAGTTGGAATTCATATTGCCTATAAAATGCCAACTGAAAGCAGTTAAATGCTTTATAAATACAAAATGTTCATTATTTTTTAGGCCTGATTTTCAGTCTGTATTTTTGTTTTGGGAATTGAAAGGGCAGTGCGTGTATTTGTAGCATACATATATCAAAAGGATTGAGGAAATTACCTGATGACTTTCTTTGGTTGAGGAATGTCTTTTTTCTTGAGGAATTTCTTCAGAAATGAAACTATGTCTTGTCCCACTTGTTCTTCCGTCAGAGATTCCATGTACAGGGCCTCTTTACCGCTTAACCAACCTGAAACAAAACAAGCATTCTAACTATCACACACACAAAAATAAAATCAGCTTCAAGCGAAACAGCTCTTTGTGAATCAATCTCATTATTATTACGATACATTTTGTACCTCAAAGATAATGAGTATGCGTGCACTGAAGGATTTAATACACTTATATGACCAAAACAGTTCCATTGCCTGATCCATCAAACAGAGCAGAAATACTGCCAAGGATGAACAGTTGAGCATTGCCAGGTCAGTACATTGTATACCTGTGGCGGTAGACCGAGGCCCCAGGCCAGGCTACAAACCATATTTAGTGTGAAGATGATGTGATGTGTCTATCTTGGTTTTTAGTAGTCTACTGTCACCAGTAAATATTGTCAACACCACTATAAAGCCAAAGTTTTTTGGATTGCACTTTTTTTAATTTCTGAAAATAATGAACCACTCCTAGTATTGCTTTAGCTCTTATATGCAATGTAAAATATTATAAATCTTCATTTCTTTTCCCCAAAATAAAAAAAAATTGGAAATATGAAAAATTTGACAATTGAAACAAATTGTTACTTAATCTTAAAGAATTTCGTAAGACATTTTCTGGATTAAGGTGAAAAAGTTCTTTTAGATTAGGGCTGAATTGGTTAAAAAAATGCCACTCATGATCAGATAACCGTGTGTGCTTATCTGAACCGAAACCAGGTAACCACCTTTTCTTGTGACAATGAATTACGGCCGCCAATGGCTCTTTATTTTGATAAAAATATGATAATTTGATAACAAAGATAACTCAATACTTATGTCTTGTGAATACAGTTGTACAACGTTGCTAATTCTCAAAATGTACTCAATAGAAAATCAAGTATACTGATCACGAGTGTTTTCAAGGTCTGTCAATCAGTAATCAGGAGCAACATTTCTGCCCGGGAAGTCAATAAATATAATACTGACCTACATTTTGGGATGGTTTTCGGTACGTGGATTTGGATTTGCTAACGGGATAGTTCTTGTAACTGAACTCTGTTACCCTTTCCAGCCCTATTTTAGATCTATGCATACAGTTTCCAAAATAATGTTATACATTCTGTATATATTATCTGTCTATAATGACAGAGTGTCTCTGGAAATACAGCTGATCTGCTGCACTATATAGTCATTACTTCTTTGTCCCCTCACTTTTTTCAAGTCAATCAATATGATTCATCAATTACTTCCTGATCTATTAGATAGGGAGTTCAGTCATGTTTACTCTGTATTCCTTTTAACTTAATTAGCATAAACTTTGAATATATTTCTTCACATATGGACTTAATAAAACAACTCTAAACACATGAGAATGCAGAGGACATACATGTACATATGTATAGGGTCTGTTTATGTGCCAATGAACTGTGGAAAGATCCAGGTCAGAAATAGGCTTATCATAAACTACTGTGTACATGAACTTAAACCAATTATACTGATCATGACCACAAGTTCAACAGTTGAAAGGTTACAGGTTACTGGTGGATTACGCCTGGACATTGGCTTTACACTGGGTAGACATGTATCAATGACTGACCCTTCATGCTCTGTCAAAACTTGAATAATATCAACCCAAATGTTTATGTTGGGAATTGGATGAAATTCAATTTCAACCCGATCAAAAAAGTCTTACACTTTAAATTGATAAATTAATTTCGAGCTTCCGTTCACATCTTGTTTATTACACAACTTCACTTAAATAAACCTGAGTAGTTAGTTAAGGGTTCTCATCGTGGTAACAGTAATTAATAAGGTCATATATGAAAACAGGTGTAGATAGATAGTGGGGCCACTATATGTGGTCATCCCGACAGAAACCTCACCATCTGGACATTGAATCATGATAGTTGATCATGACACCCCATCAAATTATATTAACCTGTCAAAATCTTAACTGGACAGATAAATATCAATTAATTTTCACTATGGTAGATTAAATATAATTACCAAAACTTCTTTATTATTTCTGGCATACATGTAGAATATTTGGGCATTCAGATATATATGCTATTTCCAAAATAGCCTAAGACATGAAACTTAGTCCCCTTGGACTGATGGTTGACATAAGTTTACTGTAGCATCAGTGACCTTGGCATCGACCTTGGGACCTGAAGTTATAAATGAACTTCTGACCTTTAATAGTATAAAAAAAAATTGATTTTTTTTATCAAATACAGTTGTTAGAGTCACTAGAATGAATTGGAATGGGATGGGACTTGATTGGATGGAACCAGACAGAAATATTTAGGGTAGCACTGACTTGATGCACCCCCTCTAAAAAACAAATGAAGGTAGAAAAAAACACTTAATATCTTGTATCAGTAGTATATTTTATATGTCATGTATGGTTGATAGCTCATTAACTTAAATTCGTAATTTATTATAGCTCATTTCAAGAATATATATTCCTTCCATATTTGGGCCAAATACTGAGGCAAAAAGTTTGTTGAAGGGAAACAGTTGCCCATGTTCGATTATGCTCAGATCTGGTAAGAAATGGAGGTCTTTATGATAGATCACTCTTAAAGCTTTATCTAGCTATCATTGTTGGATGCCATCAGTCAGTAATATGGAATATGACTCAAAAATACATTTCGTTGTACTTCATTTTTCAATATTAATCATTAAACGACATTGCCACTACATCACATGCCATGGACTGATTGTTGACGTCATCATTATATTACTAGCTATGACATAATAATTGTTTCGTTGGATACTACGTACTGACCATCCACGGGAGATGGCTGTTCTATTCAATGAACAAGCATACAAAATACATACATTATTTAAACAAATTATATATAAATGCCAAATAACAATAAGTGTAATTGATTTTTTTTATGAATTTGCCTTTGTCCAGTTGGCATTCATATTGCCTATGAATGCCAGCCAACTGAAAGCAGTTCAATGCTTAATTACAATCTAAGCAAGTAAAAGTGCCAGGGTAGACAGTATGGAATCTTAAGAATGCAGCAATTAAAATGTTATAAGTCTGGCATACCTCATAAAACTAGCAGAAAACTTAAGTTAACTCTGATTACAACTGAAACAGATCTCTTTGATTCTCTAAGAAACCAAAGGTATACTGTAGCAACAAAAAGTAATTAAAAGATTAGGAAAGGTTGTTGGTCTTGCTAGTTGTGGTGCAAGTTAAAGAGTGCTCAATTATCAGTGGGAGGTAAACATAACAGCAAACACATGCGTTTGTAAGTAACTTGTAACACATAGCAAACTCATGAAAATTACAATGTACATCAAGGATAACATTTCTCCAAAAACTTAAAGAAATTACTTTAATGTCTTGTACATGTAAATGATTATTTTGCTATGTCATCGCATTAAATTATACAATTTATGACAGAACACAAGTTTTTTCCCCCAATTTCGACAGTCAGCAGCAGATCCGCTGAAAATGAGATAAAGATAAATCTAGAGAGTGAGATTTTCAAAACAGAAACAAGTCAAACAAAACATTCTCTGCATGTTTGTAAACACATTTAAACATCAGATGTAGGAATATATATTTATGTTACATGTATGCACAAACTATAGTGGGTGTATCTGAAGTGCCAAATTATACCTACAAACTGGTATGCCAAGAAATAATGAGGTCGCTTACGTCAACAGGAGATAATCTTACAAATTCCTAGCAAACATATATATAAACATAGCCTAGATTTCTGGAGTAAATGTGAGCATCAACAAAATCACTCACCTACTTCGATAGAGGAATACCCAAGCATGACCCTGTTATCTACAAGTATACATATCGCACCACCCCATGGAGTTAGTCCGACATACTGCAGGTTTATATTTAGCTGCATTTTACTTAAGGAATATATATACCAATTAAAATGGGTGTCACCTTTATTTGCTTGGTTACTTCCTATATTTGTAAGCCTTGAAGTCTGTTTTGGTTTAAAACCTCTGTATCATTCTATTAATTGGTCTTATCCAAGGTAATGAGTCTAGATACATTTTGCTGTGTCAAAAGTATGAGTACAATATGATTCATCCTTATAATTACCACACCTATCTTTTGTTATCAATCATGACTGTACTTGTTATCATGATCAGTAGGCCACAGTTACATAAGCCTCCAAGAACATATAAAGTTGAAATGTTTCAAAGGAGATGCAGTCCATGTTCTGGAAAATGTCAGCATCATGTTGTATATATAGTTCTTTATGAAAATATGTGGCATGACCAAAGCCTATTTCAACTTTAAACTTAACCTCAGCTTTTGACCTTGTCCTTTAATCTAATAATCACAACTTTAGCAGTAGTCTCCAAATAAAATAAAAACTACAATCAAAAGTGTCAAAAAAGACTTGAAACAAAAAAAGTCTAAAAAGAATTATATATGCGCTACTTTGCGGTTACATTCACACACAATTCAAAACAGCTGTAACTGAAAAATGCCTAACTCAACTCCTGTGCTTTCAACTTTCGTCACACTCAAGACAAAAAACCTCACCCGTCAAGGAAATTATCAATCAAAGCTGCCCTAGTATGTCATGAATGAAATTAACAATGTCAAAACAAATGTGAAGTGGACATAAATTATACAACTCTCCTACATACGTAAAAGAACTAATTGTTAGCTAAATCTGGAAAATTCTATGGAACACTTCTACAAACTGAAGTATTTAACAGTACCTGTTACATATATACTGATGTCCACAATTATGATTTGGGTACACAGTACAGACAATGTTGACCTGGAGTTTTAAACCAAACACTAGCTCTCATTAGAGTATACATGTTGTATGTAGATTCTTACACTCTCATTAAGGGATTACTAATCAGTTTTCTGGAATGTAAATGCTTAAAGCCTGGCCATGACCTCACAGTCTACACTTCATTTAGATCAATGTAAGCTTCAATTTATAGAGCTGTACATGATATTAGTGTACACATTAATTATTTTTTATGGAAGATCATACCATATACAGTAATACTGTAGGTACAGGATGAACATGCAGCTTCAAGAATTGAGTAATTTACTGTAAAACTAGCTTGTGAATCACATTCCCTGTTAGCTATAGGTCTACATATAATTATATGACAAACATCTCGTGTCATCTGGTACTGTCGCTTAGGTCTTTCTTTCTGAATGCAAACAAATTACCGACAGTATAGATGTACAAGTACGGAAGTAGACTGTAGAGCTCTATAATTGCTTGAAACAAACAGATAATTCATTTTTTGTTGTACTAGCTAGCTGTTATGATAATGTTATCCGTTTGACAATTTTTACAACTGCAAGTAGTTTTGGGGACTTTTGAAACAGCCACTTTCACAATCAAAACTTGTTTGAATTGTTTCAGTACATATCTAGAGGATATTCTTCATTTCTCAACCAACAAAAAAAATTAATGCCCCGTTTAATGTTGCGGTTTTCTTAAAAAACACATGAACCGACAGTCAAATCTTTTGTCAAAAACATTGAGACAAGGAATGCTGTATAGACATTAGTCAGGTTATAGTGATAACCCATTTGAAAATGTGCATGTCCATTATATAAATTTATTGATCTTTATTTTTCACATAAAACTCTGCTCTGTGATTGGTCATTTTTTTGTTGTGTTATTTGTCTCAGTAGGAAAATATCAATTTTTTATTAATCAAACACCACATATTTTACCTGGAAAAATGTAGTCTTTGAGATTTTTATTTAACACTTATTCATATCTGCACTGCCATGATGACAGAAGATGGCTGACACAATCCATTTTCTTGGCCTGGTTTCTGTGTGCCACTTAAGGGCCATCTGCAGGTGTCCCAATGCAAATGCACATCAACCACCTGGATGCATCCAAGGAACTGACCTGATTGAATTTGCGAAGATCAAAAATATGCATGTGGAGCAATGTTGGTAGCTACATCCCATTCATGTGGGTGGTACACTGAGGCCATTGCATGAAACACTGATCCAGAGCTCAACGATGTGAATTCTAGTTGCTACCATGGAGCAGCTGGAAGTAGTAAAGTCGTTATTTTTGGACTTGACTTTTTAATGTCCTGATTAAGGTATATGATAAAGCAGCATGTGCATAAAATCTCGAGCTCGAGATGATGCACGGCAGCATGTAGGCCAAAGTACATATATGCAATTATTACTTATTTAGATTTTAGCTAGCTTCTATGGATTTGGTAATCATCCATTTCCTGAAACATCTCTGGAAAGTGTTGGACTGTTGGTGTATGCATATGGTGGCCATGGTGGCAGTTTTGGCAGACAAACAATCGGTAGGAAATGAACGTACACATGTTCTTGAAACTCAGGTTAGAATTTTATCATTCAATCAATTTTCTCATCATATAAATTTTATGGTGTAACATGGTTTTTGTCAGAATATTTGGCTTGGCAATCCTTCCCAAGTCAAAATGTTAACCATCAGAAGAATTCTTCATGGTTTAACAGAAACGTAAAATAGAAATATTCAACAAATTAGTCAACTTTTAGTATAGCCATAGGATTGGTCCTGTGATATAAGGTGTTTCAACTGTCATAATTAAATGTACATGTCACCATGAACTTAAACCCTTAAATCTTAATAAAAATTCACAAGTAAATTACAAATGTAGAAGCACAAAGCATTGTATTTTCTACATATATACTTACCCACAAGAACATTGCCCCCAGTAACCTCCAAGGAGTAGATTTTGCGATACCAGGTGTGTCGCAGATCTGGAATTTCGACCTTTGTCTTGTCCCACAACATCTCAACATGGAACACCTCTGGAGGCGTGATTGGCTCATCAAATTGAACTATCACCTTGTCCACAATGCCAAATCCAACACGGTCAATGGCTAGCAGCTTGTCTGGCGGCAATGGTGGGTCAAACATGCGATCACAGGCTGCTTTCAGAACACCGAGCGAGACAGTCACTAACACATGATTTGCATAGAACACCTCTCCATTCTCACACTCAACTTTGACCTCGAACTGGTTGTCATCGGAATGCTTGCGATTCCAGTGAATACATTTGACTGGGGTGTTGAGCAGTATGTTTTCTGTGGGTATGTTTTTCTTGAGAATGTTTAACACTGATTTGAACCCTTTAGGAATGGAGTAGTGCACTCCAGGTAGTTCCTGGTAGCCCCCAAACTCACTGAGCGACACTTCATCTAGTGTGTCACAACCAGATATACAGCATTCCAGCAGTTTCCTTTGGTCAAATAAAATTTCCCGTACATGACGGTCTCCGTTGGAATACCTTTCAATCATTGATGAAAACTCACGCTCTAAGAATGCACCCACACTGTCATTTTCCTCTGGAGTGGGAATGTTGCTCTGATAATAATCCTCAGCCTGGATGATAAGTTGTCCATACAAGAGGTTGATTTGGTTTACAGTCCGCTCATTGATCTCCTCCCCATCCTCTGTACGGAACAGGTTCTTGTGGCGCAGACCCTTGTCTCCATGCCGCAGTTCCAACAGGTTGTTTTCATAGGCAATTTTAAAAATGGGATTTCTCTCGATGCCGTGGATCCAGTTGGCACCCATCTCCACTTTGTTGTGCTCATCATCTACAACAGAGCAGTTGGCAGAGTTAGCACAACACAACCACAACATGCAATTTATGGAATCAGGATTCACACTGGTCAATAGAAAAAGCACTATGGAACTTCTGATTTAACAACAAATCAATGAACTGTTGAATCAATTGTATCTCATATAGAACACCAAAATTTCGCTATTTTATGCAAATGTCATCTAATTCTTGTTTTTAGTCATCAGTAGCTTTGTATGTAACCCATACAATTATGATCAATATGTTCAACACAATTATACTATACAGGTATCTGTATACTATATGTAATATATAGAATATATATAAGGTAAGGTATTATGTAGGTGTATGCTGCGTGTACACATTCCAATTATAATTTATGTTAAAAGTAATCACTTCTTCCATATCTCTTCTAGGTCACTTAAAAATTTGTTTAACATACATGCATGATGCACATTTGAGGTTCAATGGTCACAAAAACAGTTTGAATTCCTACACCATAGGAATAAGAAACAAATTAGTCTGTCAATCACAGAGTTAAAATATAGAATAAGCAAGATTGCTTTAATAGTCTTTGATCTCCATGATGCATGATATCATCACAATATTAAAATCAGTGTTCAAATCAAATATGCCTTTGATAAGTCACATTCTAATTAAATAACTTTACAGATGTTTTTGATGTATGTAAATATAAAAGTTGCTTTGTGCAGAAACTAATAAGTTGGTTTTAAATTTGAAATATGACAAGAAATAAAATTCTGTGAAAAATATTCAATTTTGTAACATTTGAAGTTTCAACTCAGGAATGCTTTGTTGGATATATATTTAAACATTTTAATTCCACTATTGTTTTTCATATACGTATAGTATAATCTTGCTTTAATTTGTTTTCATTTAGGGAACTACCAGGGTAGCACAGTTGGTTTAATAGAGCAACAGTATTACAACTGGTGGCCAAGGGTTCAAATCCTGTCCTGTTGGTTATTTTTCAGAACAATGTTGATTTTAAAATTTTTGCAAACATTTCATCTACCGTGTATGTAATTTTTTCATGCAAGTTCTGCAAGGTATCTGTCTCATTTCAGAATAAAACTGTTGTCATGCTGCATTGGTAAAAAGAAGTTTAAAATTCATATGTACAGCTTTTGACTATTGGTAATGGAACTGTAAAGTCTAATATACCATTTCACGATCCAGGGTTTGTAATTGATATCAATAAAGCTATGTGGGAATGGGTTAACAAGTTCTACCTAACATAATGTCGGGTAAAAATGACTGGTTGGTAATTCTTTGGATTTTACCAGACCGAAAGTTAAGAACATATATTACAAATTTGGTATATATATAATTATATGCACTTTTATTTCGTAACATACCTCGAGTGATATTAATAGTACATTCTATAGGGCACAATATATATGACTATTCTTTTTTAAGATTGAATGATGGGCAAAGGAAGCTGGAATCCTGAAATTTGCTTTTGTGCATACATTGTCACATTAAGCTAGCTAAAACAATGAATAAAAAGGGGTTTCCCTTTAGAGGAATGCAGTATATTTTTTCCTTGTATTGTGGCGTTTATTGTAAGATCATTATGGCAGCTTAAATCATATATGATGTCATAATGTGTATTTCATTGCTTCATCATTCTGTATTCAGTTCTTGTCCTGTCAATATGATTGTTTACCAGACCTGAAAGGTGAAAGGGTTAGGGATCTCTGATCAATTTGTTTTTGTTGGTTTTTTCTTCTATATATTTACCATCAAAATGACAGCTGATGCTTTTTCTAATGTTCATATGCATGTACATGTATGTATACATATCTATCACCTCTAGATCTGTGCTTCTTTGGAAACCTCCTGACCCAAACATGAACTGACAGATATATTTATGTGTACATTACACTGGTGGGAATGGGTTAAAAAATTGTGATAAATCATCAGTTCTTTACCAAAGATTTATTAGTAATCTTTCCCCAAAGAAATAAATGTCTATTACTGGGCCTAATGCTTACGATAATGAAATAAAATCTGATAAAGTTATTTTTAAGCGAACATAAACATGCGAAAATACAAGAGACTTAGTGTTTTAATCCATCCTTGCTTTAGCTGTTTGATTGCTACATGCTCGAATTCTATCCCCTATCATTAAAATTTTAAGCTCAATTTTTTTTATCTATTTTCAGAATGTCATGTCTGACAGTCACAGCATAATCAATTTCATTTAAGTTATTTCTTTTCATGTAAATTGTCAAATATCAAACTCTATAGAGTGAAAGACATCGTCCTGTAAAATGTGTCTTATTCAGCTTGAAAAACTGATTTTACAACTGGACTATCGTGATATTCATATATACAAATATAGTCATGTACAAGATTACAGATTATAGCAATCTTTTTACATTTTATTGACCTTATGATCAGTTCACACTTAATAAGTTAAGGGCCACACAAAAATATTTGATTTCATAGTTACTTGCTTTCTAAAAAACTTTGGTTATATATCCTACAAAAGGCTACTAATTTTTCAGTGTTATCCAATCATCACACCCACAAATTAGATGGGGTGTTACTTTTCTTTATTATACATGAGCTGATCATCTTTATTAAAATATATATTGTGTTCTAGATCTTTACTGTAGGTAACTATGTTAAAATAATTGTTTTTGATATGCTGATTATAAATTACGTTTGAATTGTATTCAAACTGGACCTACTATATTTTAGTCTATTGGTCAGTTTAAACATTGGCAAAAATGTACATAGGTAAGATCTACTTTCATTTTCATAGCAAGTTACGTACACGTGATCACATCATGATTTACATAAATGACATCACTGTGATGATACATTTCGGTACATGACTGCCATTTTGGTTACCAATACAATGACGTTAATGTTTACATTTGACAGGGAAACCAAGCAAATCTAAATGAAATGCTGTCCGCCATTGGTTGGCCCCAATTCGACACGTAAGAGTGTACTACGTATACGTCTGCGTCCTTGCGTGACCTTCACACTGGGGGCAGTCATTCACAAAATTTAAACGTCATAGTCGCTGACAAAGAACAACACACACAAAGCAAATACATATAAACGCTCAACATTTTGAATACAATCTGCTCCCAAACCCACAATAGTGAACATTTTTAATTACCTACCTGCTCACATACAACAGAAACCTTATTCGAAGCGTCCAATCACGCAAGGAAAACATGACAGCTGATAGAAAGCTCAGTGGGTCATGAAAACTTACCAATTTTTATGGTCCATATTCGCCCTCCCGTTCGATCCGAGGCTTCAATTATTTTGAAGTCTTTGAACCCAGACTGTGAAAGATGGTTCCCAGCAGCTATACCTGATATACCGGCACCGATAATTAAGAGTTTATAGTTTCGTTTTTCATTTGTAGTTTCTTTTTCCGGCACAGTCGCATCCATATTCATGCAACAGTTTCAGACCAGCTGACCGAGAACGTCAGCAGTTGTTGAATGGAAATATATCTATAGAGGCGATATTTATAATGTAGCTGTGTGTTATAAAAACCAGTCGAACACAGTCCTACTCTCCTCACATATAAGCCTACAGTGTTTAAAGATGTAACTCCACTGGTTCATGAACATCTTCCCACATCGACTGCGACAAGATTTGTTTAACAACTGAAGCGTTTTCACAGCACATATTTTGATGACGTCAAAAGGTGTGGCCTCCACATGAGGTCAAGGGTTAAAGTTCATTACAGTCTACGTGTGTATTTTCTATCATGACAGGTATTGACGGACACGATGAAAAGGATAAGTATGTTTACGAAACGAAATGTTTGATGGTATCTTAATGTATACACGTACAACAATTATCCCGATAACTTCAAGTAGAAATGTAATTATAAGGAACGTTAATGATAAGCTAAACGTTATTCGTAAAACATGCCCGATGTCGTCTGCTGTATTTTAAGATGATGAATGCTTTGATAGGCATACTGTAGACATACTCAAATAACAATCAACATCTATTAACAATATTAAAATAGATTGGTTGAATTAAGAAATAACAAATATACCAAACATCTTTATTGTATATAATTTCTAAGTATTTACAAACATCTAATGCAAGTTTGTTTCAAACGAATGTATTCGTATGACAACGAGAAATAGTAAACGAAATGCAATCAAGACATCTTACATAAAAAAAATACAACGATGTAGACTAGGCCTACGGCGAAAGAAAGATGTACGAGGAACAAACCACTTATACCACGGACTTAGATAACATTCTAATTCCGTGCTTATAATAAATAAAAATATTTCTAAAACACAGAAAAATGAAGTTAATCCCGAACATAACACATTTTTTTTATCTATGTTTCAGGTACATGTACCTCGCCCGACCCTAGTTTTTACCTCCGACCCTAGCTTTTTTAATCTCACTCGAACGCACCTTAAAAACGCCCCTTTTGAATGTACCGAAAATCGGAGCGTCTTTCTTACACTGACCCCTCTTTTTCAAAGGCAAGTATCAATATTAAATTTAAATCCCATAATCCAATGTTATTATTTAAAAGACCTAAAAATGACATGAACAATGAATACAATTGGTCTGAACAACTCTAGTGGTTCTTCGGTGTAATTTCTTACCCCCCCCCCTTAAATAAAATACAAATAAATCCCAACCGATCGATCAGTTCTTTAGTCATGTTACCTAAAAAAATTAATACACCGAACCTCCAGAGTTTTGTATGTCCATTTCGCTTAACTGATTTAGTCCTGGTTTTTGTTTATAAAACCTCCGCAATTGATTGAAAGTGAGATGAAATTAGTAACATCCACAATAAAGGATTTTCCATCTACAACATTGTACACATTCTTATCACAGACTGAGATCCAGTTCCCTGGACTAATTATTCAACGTTATCCTTAGCATAGAATGTAAGCACCACAAGAACAAATATATTGTAAGAAACCCATCTTATTTTCTTAGATAATTTCTGGCTAAACTAGTCTGGAGGCAACACATTTTTCCGACAATATGCATGAATGTTTATTTTCATGTTCTTCCAACGTCTAAAAAGTTGCGATTCCCACTTTCAAAAAATAATGGTTTTTTTTTCTTTGGATATGTATCTACAGAGGGGAAAATTCAATTCAAGCTGAACAAGAGAAACTTTCAAGAGCATGTCGCAAAACTATTAAAGATATCAGAGCTCTTGATTCAGCTATAGTTTAGCAATTAACTTGAGCACTGGAAAATATCTAGACATAAAAAAAACGGTCACTTTCAAATTTTTCGTTTTTAACAAGACATTGTTAATAAAAATTAATGTAAATTTATTATAGTATGTATTATATCTTATTGACATGGATAAATTGTCAGCTTTCTGCCCGTGTTAATCTTTTTTCGTAATAAATTGTAATAATGACCCGACAGAGAAGTAGGATAGGTATCGAGTATCTAATTGATTACAGTGACAAGAGAAAATTTAACTCGAAAGGCTATTTTTACATGGTGAGACTCATGACATGTCAATAGGCTATTTTTTACAATGGGCGACTCATGTTGTGTCGAGAGGTATCGAGTATCTAATTGACCACAGTGACAAGAGAAAAAATACCTCGATAGGCAATTTTTACATTGTGAGACTCATGACATGTCAATAGGCTATACTTTTTTTACAATGGGAGACTCATGTGGTGTCGATAGGCTATTTTTACATAGGGAGACTCATATATGTGTCAATACATATATTTTTTACATAGGGAGACTCATATGTGTCAATATATATATTTTTTACATAGGGAGACTCATATATGTGTCAATATATATATATTTTACATAGGGAGATTCATATATGTGTCAATATATATATTTTTTACATAGGGAGACTCATATGTGTCAATATATATATTTTTTACATAGGGAGACTCATATATGTGTCAATATATATATTTTTTACATAGGGAGATTCATATATGTGTCAATATATATATTTTTTACATAGGGAGACTCATATGTGTCAATATATATATTTTTTACATAGGGAGACTCATATATGTGTCAATATATATATATTTTACATTGGGAGACTCCTATGTGTCAATATATATATTTTTTTACATAGGGAGACTGCTATGACGTGTCGATATTCGATAGCGAATTCCGTCTTTGCATATTGCAGAGTTATCTTCTCTTGGGAGCAGGTATTGATTGTTACGTCACTTGTTTGTGAGAGTAACGTCATCAATTTTTGAGAAAACGACGTAATTTTCTCACACAAACCAATGACGTAACAATCAATACCTGTTTCCAAGAGAAGATAACTCTGCAATACGCAAAGACGGAATTCACATTGGAAGACTAACGATTTGGTCCATAAATCAGGAAATGAGCATCAATAGCTAAAGAGGATATTTTCTTGCTTAAAATATTCACGACATAGATCTGAAAGTTTGATTGTCACTTTCTGAGAATTAAGGCGAACGTGTATAACGTATGTGGCGAAATACACGTGATTTATAGCTTACATTAATATGAACATGATCTCTGTACGCAATGATAAGGGCTATATTTCGGACTAACAGGATGTGTATTTAAGCTGTTCGTTCTAGCATGTTCGACTGAATGCTTCCTGTTGCAGTGTTAGTGATGTCCATTATTAATAGTTCTTTGAATTGTAAATATCCTTGATGACGTCAGAGCGACAGCTGTATGTGTAGAGATATACTAGCTTTATTTACATTTTTTCACGTTTGGATTTACTGTTATTTGCATTGTATGACGAGAGACAAGCATTCTTTGCTTTTGATTATTTCTATATTTACAGGAGAGAAAAAAGGAGTATATATAAACACATTTCAATTAGGCTTTGTGAAATATATTTCAAAGCATGTCATCTAAGTCGATTCAGTTACAAAAAGGTATATATACGGGGGAAAATCCTGGAATTTAAGATCAGTGGGCCATTTCAGCAATTTTTAGTCATTTTCAAAAATAAGAGGGGTAATTCTATGTAAAATTAAAAGAAAATTGGAACATGGAGGGGTCAATTCATGTTTATCCCTGTATATATATGGATATCATCAAGTGACATATAAAAATCCGAGTTTCCCAACATACCACTAGCCGATACAGAAATCCTAGGAAGGATACATATATCTGTTGAAACTGTGTCAATATATCTATTTGTCCTATTTTTGTAATTTTATGCACGCGTATAGGTATTTGATGAAATCGATGACTATATCGTAAGAATTTAGCTACGGATATTTTTTTATACACAAATGTATATAAATATTCGTAAAGGTGCATGTCTTCTATGTCAATTATAAATTTGCGCATTTTACATGAAATAATCAAATTCAAGGTTGTTATATTATCACGATAAGCCGGTAGTCGAATTCGATAAATCATTGTTGTTCTAAAAAGTTAGAGACGTTATATTGACAAAACCGTCAATTAGTAGTTCATTTATTTTGGAAAGACATTTTCGTCGTTGAAAACTAAATTATTGCACTTATGGACGTCCTTGGCGTATACCTATATAGAATGTGCTGTCCTTAAATGGCCTTATCTATAAATAGGATGTTAAACAAAATAAAACCAAACCCAATGTGTTCGGCCATATTAAGAACACGGAGTACGCTGTACACGTGCCCGTGAACATTTTAGCTGTTGACTGATGTGACAATCATATGTATTGTTTGTTTTTCTGCCTTGATTAGGTAATCACAACAGGTATCTAGTCCAAGGTTACCATCGGTCAAAAGCATATACACAGTAGGATTTAAAGCAGCGTTTGTAACGTCAATGTTAGTTTGAACTTTATAGAATGACACTGTTCTATTTATAAATGGTATTATGTTAGAAGTATTGAGAAACATCAATAGAAGAGAAATGTAGTAACGTCATTTTCATACCATATGTAACATGACAATTAAACCTATGACCCACAGGTGCTTGACCGATTGATCCCCTCAAGTTATCTCCACTGAAACGATCCTGTTTAAGTTTGAGATTGTAGAAATGCATCAGGAAGTATAGGGTTTTGGTACACATAGGGAAACGGACCAATCAAACTTATCCATTAAATACAAAACCAAAACTATTTGAAACAAATGAAAGTATATAATAAGCAACTCAAGTTAAACTAACTACTATAAATATAAATGAAAGACTAATGTCGAGTGCAAGCTCGCCTATGTTACATCACATACATGTCATCGGAGGCTGAACCCAGGGCTCATTAACCCTAGCAGTCCCCATACATATGTATAATTATATTTATACATTAATTTTGAACAAGAAAAGATGCGTTTTTGTTTTAAACAATATGATTATTGTTCTGTCTTAACTTGTACCCCCCCCCCNAAAATAAGTGTTTGGAGGTAAGAATAACAGCATATACAAAACATATTTACAAAGATGCGGGGGATCGATGTAGATGTCACAAGACATAAATAAAGCCATAATAATGATGCAAAATAAGAGGAAATGAGAAATTGATAAGCGATATTCTAGATGTAACTATATGTACGTACACTGTTATTGCAGTGAATCTGTTTCCCTGTAGAACTGTCAACGAATAAATCAAACCAAGAGATAAGGAAGATATACAACTATGCACACACAATGTGACGAAGTCCGAGGTACAGTAGACGAAAAAATAATTTATGATCAATTACTTTCTATGTTATATCAAGCTTATTTCACGTATTTAAAACTCCAGCAGATTCTGAAAAATACGTTCCAACACGCAAGTCATAATGTATAAGTTCGCTGGTATTTTCAAAGTCAACGGAAGAATGATAAATTATATCACGACACTTATATGACAATACTAGAGGCACACAGAGAGAATCAAAGAGTCATGATGATCAGGTTGTAACACGTCGACATGTAGCGGGACGTCGTTCTGTTTTTATTCTTTTATTCAAGTGCAGATATAGTTTGCACTTGAAAATATCTGGTTCAAAATTTAGCATGTCCAAAGAGCACGCTCGTACATCCTTCTCGACACTTAACATGCACATCCGCCTTGCATGAGGATAATTTCATTGGAAGTGACGTCATGTCAAACATCTAGAAATTGACGTCACCGGCAATTACATTAATCACTTATCACGATTTGTCAACCGTTACATGCAGGCAAATACATACACCAATGATTAAGATTTAAAAAGAATTTACAATTAACAGAACAAATCACGATTGGTTTTCATGTCTATCTAAAATGTGTTTAATGGGGGAATACGTAGTATACCAATTACATACATTATTTAAAAGAAAAAAATCACCACGCCCAAAAAATTGCCTTATGTAAGCACTATGTCACAAGTCAAGACGTCATCAATAATTATAAGCCAACAGAATGATTATTTACCATAAAGTGCCCAAAAATCTTGTTGATAGGGCTTAAGAATTGTACCTGCTGCCCCTCCATTTATATCGATCATATAATACTACATGTTTTTCTGTCCTTTTAGCACATTGGCCACGGGACATTTGAAGAAGACAAATCAGTTACAGAAGATGACCAAAGTTGCTAAAAGTAAAAAGGGAGGGAGGAAGCTTTACACCTTTTCTACTCCATACAGCCAGTCCACGATTAATCAGTCCACGGAGACCTCAGACCCACCTCAACTGACCCAGACACTGGAAAATGACAAAGGGTATTTCATTGACATGTGCGATATATTAGGTGGGACTACAACTACACACGGGAATCTTATACCCGAAGAAAGGGTAACGTCATGGACGAAAAAACATTCTCGATGTCCCAAGGAAACTGCAAACTATGGAGGTACATGTATACAAATGAAAAGTGAGAAACGGAGAATGACGACATCGACCATTGTAGTGGACGGGTTAGGGATTGCTGTGCATCAGAAGCTAGTGTCAGCTTCTGTAACGCATTCATCTAACCAATCAAGAAGAACTGCTGATAAGAAAATGGTATGTATCCGACCAACGTCACGCTGTCGTAGTGGCATTGTAAAAGCTACCACTGTTCGACACTTTGACGTTTATTCCGACAAACAAATATACACAACCTGTTGTGAAAAGTCCTAAAGTCCTGAATATACTACTGTTCAAAATCAAGGTTCTGTTTTCGGTACAGCTGCACCCCATAGAATATGCTTTGACAAAATCGAAGACTCCAGGTCTGCTGCTTGATTGGTTCTAGGCATAAAAAACAGGCCAATCGCAAAGCTTATAGACAGTGGTACCGTACATTGAGAATTATCAACGAGTTTTTCCGAGATCAAAGCCGGCTAGTTTTACCATTACGCTGCCACGCATTTTACTTTTACTTTCAATATAGTTTTACTTTTAAGATCAAAGGTATGCAGGACTAGTCAACTGGTATCGTCCGCAAGGTGGCGGGTACTGAGACTTCGATTCTGTCATATATAAATCAAGGAATGCAGAGAAGTTATATCTTATCGCAAGTGGAACCCTTGGATTCGAAGAAAGGATATACTTGAATGCGATTTATCATTGCATGAATGCATCAGTCACACTCATGTCCTGTGGATATTCAATGGCTCAACTACAAATTAAATGAGCTCGTCTGCCATTCTCAACTCGTCTTAAAAACCCACTCCATGTCCATCGTTTCATTTGTCACCACTCTAACAAACAATGCATTTCTAGGTCCCATTTACATGTACCATTATTCGACACAAAGGACCAAATGAGTACATGCATTGATAATTGGTGTGACATCCGTCGTCCGTCCATCGTCAACTGATATCTGTGGCACCCTTGGGCAAAGGAAATTCAATGTTGTATAAATGAATAGTAGGTATCGAAAAATATCGTGACAATTCCCACATGTGTTAACCATCAGAATCACATGATGTCACCACTGAGTTTCGTGATTAACTCGCGGTATTATAATGTTTTATTATGCCCCCGCCATGAAATGGGGGGAGGGGGGGGGGGGGGCATTTATGTCTTACAGACATTTTCTAGTATTTCCCTTATTCCTACTCAAATATTTAGACAGTTTCGGGAAACGTTTCATTCTCTGACATAACACTGATAAATCCAAATTGGACGAAATGGCTATATGGTTTAGTAAATGGTTACTTTGTGTAGCTTACAGGGTTAATTTAATAACATTTAAAATAGCTTCTTTATGACTTGGTGTTTCTAATGATATTTTACGCCACAGGTGATTGACTCTGCCAGTGGAATATCAGTTCCAAAGGTTGGGCATAACCTTGTAGCTGGAATGTATTCTGATTTACATGAGGTACTATTACAAAGACTGTTTATCTGTTCTAAAGGGTTCGGTAGGCACCTTATGTTTTGTCTCTACCTATGGGTCGGAACACTCAAGTAGGGATTAAAAAAAAATCAGTAGTAGTTATCGTAGCCAAAAGGTTAGACTTGTAACAAGATTTGATAATATAAAGGGATTTAAATGCACTTTTCCCCTTTTTGCTATATTTAAACATAATTAAGAAAAAGTTTGACACGAAATTTCATTCTTTTAACCTTAGTACTATTGATGTGCTCTAAACAAAATGGCCTTTTCGTACTAAGTTTTTAATAGGTATTTTCTTACTTGGCAGTCTTTGTGATTATGTGTTTTGACGCTGTGTTATTTTTTCTATTTTAATTTACTGATGTGTTATTTTTTTCCAAATTGTCACATGGTGAAGAAGGTCCGTCGGGTACTTTATTCTTGTTATTTTGTTTATTTTATATATATTAACATATTATTATATGTATAATTTTTCTTTAAGGAATCTGTTAAATTCTATTGGTTTATTAATGAGAAAAACATTCAGATATAAAAAAAAGTAAATTGCCGTGAAACACAATAAAAAGTAAATGCCGAAACCAAAAAAATAAAATGTTAATGCCGAAACCCGGGATCGAACCAGGGACCTTTAGATCTTCAGTCTAACGCTCTCCCAACTGAGCTATTTCGGCGGATGTTGTACTACTACGAAAATGGAACAATGTACAGCCCTACAGTACTGATAATATATTCTCGGTAACGTCGACTTCAATACTTATGACGTTATGGCCAACACTTATATCAAAAGATGTGACATAAGACAACAAAATAATGTCTTTTTTTTTCACACTCAAAACACACGTCTATAAACTGAAAATATTTAACAAAACCCCAATCATAAAAATTAAATACACAAAAACGGATACGTTAGGATAAATAAAACTTTTTTTTATAATATCATTAGGTAGGTTTTTGTATATAAATTAAGAAATAAAATCTCTCTAATTGTCAATTATATTTTGTTTCGTTTCACATACAAAACGATCGTACCATCAAGACAGAGGGCAAATCTGACATAGTCAAAGTCAAAAGTAGAACATAACAAAAGGTAGCTATACCGCATTAGTACTAACCAAAAGGAATCGAGGTACCGCAATAAAAGGAGACATCAGAAAGCAGACAAACAAAGTCCAAATCCGCTCTCTGGAAGGGTAGAATTTCACAAGAATCCAAATCAACTGCTGTATGGCCTTTATCATATCCCGAGGTTGGCGTTTAGTACCAATACAACGTCTTAAGTTGACAAAACAGATATATATTATGAAGTATGATTTGGTTTGGTTTGGTCTTGTTTTGTTTAACGTCCTATTGACGGCTAAGGTCATTTAAAGACGTGTCTCCATGTGTGTAGTGTAAACGTGCTTGCGTGTTAGTATGCAGGATACAGGGTATGTTGGTGTCCGTGCCTCCTTGTGATAGCGCGGATCTGATACCGACATTACAGTGTTATCTCACTGAAATGCCATGCCGAAGGCACCCATCACAGCATTCCGTCCGGTCACATTTTACTGACAACGGGTGAATCAGTTGTTGCTGTTACCCCAAATGCTGAACATTAAGCAGGGAATAACAACTACCATTTTAAGGACTTTGTTATGTCCCGGCCTGGGGACAGAACCCATTGCCTTCCTCACCTGGGCGAACATTAAGGCCAAAAGTAAAGTGTTGCAAAGTAAGGCGCTAGGAAATAAAAGGTAGTTAGAAGTAGAAGGAAGAATAAAGACCCCAAATATTGTAATGGGCGCAGCAGATTTATTTTGATCCCAAATTATGCCAGGGGTTCCCACACTAGTCGGCTCCTACGATACATGTGGTGGGAAACAGCATGTGTATACTTTTCCCAATCCCCCACCTGCAGGGGTGTATTATGAAGTACAAAATGTTTACCTTGTTCAACCTTTGTTAAACTGTATGGTTATGAGCTTTATTGGAGCATTATTTATGGGAAAGACACAACAAAGGCCAAGATCAAATGTACCGAGGATGAAATTGTAGTAAAGTCCTGGTTGACACTATCTTTGTTGTGTTCGATTGCAATATTTACCAGCAGACTGTTTGCTTATCCATGGGAACAGACCGTGTCGTGACCAGACCATGTCGTGTCTTGGCGGATTTCGTATTGTTTTCTCGCGAGACTAGCTTTATGGACGAGTTTAACAGGAATAGAAGAAAACACATTGCTTAATATCTCCTAGTTCACTTTATGTATTTGACGATGTGTTGTCTTTAAAAAATAACCTATTACTTATATTGAGCGTATTTATCTATATTTTAATATTTCGTGTGTGTTCTAGTCTGTGTTGGAACAAGTTCACTTGGAACTTCTATTATAAATCAATTTGAATTTGAACTTATGTACTCTTCTGAACATGGAACCAAGGTCACCGGAGATTCTTTTACATCCTTAGCCTATTTCGATCTTAAATCACCGCAAGAACTGCTTGCTTTTCATCTGTTCGGTAAACAGGATGATTTCGATTTTCCTATCTTGAATTTTCCCTCTCTTGATAGTAACAACCATCATTCCTCACATCCATGATTGATTCAATATTCATGGACTTGCTCGAAATAACACGATGCTTTTGACGAATGTCGAATGCAGATGGAAAATCATTCAACTCAACTTTTTGAGTATGCCCATTAGTTTTCCTTGAAGTTTCCTTGTCACAAATTACGTCGGTTTCCTCTTTGAAAGGTAATATTAGATTTGACCTAAATTTTGATGATGGGTGTCGTCAATGAATCAGTAGACACTTACCCTCCGCAGGAACAGGTCTTATTGTCTTCCTGCGTTTTCAGAAGGTCTCCATTTAATCTTTCCTTTCTTCATTTTATGCTCTAGTTGCACCGATTTTGAGTTCAAATTACGATTTTGTTTACACTTCGCCATGGTTTTTGTTTTATTTACCATATGTGACACGCGTCATGATCTCTGACGTCTAACTAATCTAGTAACCAAGCGTACCTGCTACCCTACTTCCAATTTTCATTAAATCTAACTACAGTGGTTGACTCCGCACGTCTACTGATTGGATTCCGAGAATATATATAGTTCTTTTATTTAATTTTGCTGCTGTAAAATTACGTCATAGCCATTGCTGTTTTTGTTGATTAGTCTTCCCGTATTGATACATTTTATTTAATTCCAATGAATATAGCATTACGATAAATTGGTGCATCGACAACCTAAGGGATAGCCAATTTAAATGGGTAACAGCATGACTTTTAACCATAGACAGCAAGAGAAATAGTATCCATGCAGGAACTACAGCGTATCCGGATAGAGGGTAGCCAATCTCTTTACGGTAAATCATGAACACTTCTCTTTGAAGTTTTTCAGGATGCTACAGTGTCATAAACCATTTCCCATCAGGAACTAAATTATTTGATTCGACCAGGCTGTAATGTGTGAATCTAGTAGCAGTTTAAACCGGTACGATATTGTTAGCTGAGGAACTTGGTCTTTCAAATTTGACACATGACATAGTTTTGTCTTGTAAGAAACTATTCCATTAAAACTGCTGGCGCATAATCTCATTGTTTTTTTTCTTTCTTTAACATATACTGTTGATTAAAAGATGAAAACTCCATTCCTGAAAGTGACTGAAAGGTAACGATGTGGTCGATTTCTTCCGAATGCCAAATGCGTTTCTCGGAATATTATCAGATTCAATTACAATGTTCGTTTAAATTGATATTCAGTATATAAACGGGTTTGATTATTTGCAGATTACTTAATCTGGCTGTTCCCTAAATAACAGACATTTTTTCAGAGATTTTATATAACAAGAATAGACAGCACATAAAATGATGTCGTCAAATACCGGAACTACTTATACACATCTCATTTCAATGTGAGTTGTTGATAAATAAAACATAAACATTCATTCACTGTACATCAAAGATATTGGCTGTCTTTTAATTAAGTAATAATGAATGAACAAGAGTTTTGGATTAGGCATGATATACTGAAAAATGTGTTCACGGTTATGTTTAAAACATGTCGCGGAATTATGCAAATTGCACAAAGTTCGTTCGGTATATACAGTGCAGTGTTTCAGTAGTCCCATTAATTCTTAGTTATTCTCCCTGTAGATATATACATTATCAGAGATATTACAACTTGTAGGGTGTTCATTTATCACCCATAAGCTGAATGTCAAAATCATTATAGATGCTTCAGGTACTGTGCTAAAAAAAACAGTAACCAGAGGTTCAGACGAATACTCCCTGAAGCTAACTATACATCTGATAAGGATTTGAATATCTACGTTGAGCAAAATTGTAAATATTATACAATATTGTTTAACTGAATCCTGCTTTCAAAGTATATTAAACCAACCTCCAAGATCAGTAAATACTTTGAACTAGCTCATAAGACGTTTTAACAACGTTCGTCTGTAAATACTATAACAAATATTGATTACGTAAACAGACCTTTTGTTGGACAATGATAAGTAAACTTTTTGTGATTTTTTTTTAACCCAATATTCACCACACAACGAGAAGTTTAGATCAATGTAAATTTCCGGTTTTGACCCCTATCATCAGCGACGAGTCCTGTGCTTTTGTTTGTCAATTTTTCAATTGATTTCATGAGCAAAATTCAAAACAAAACTAGTTAAATCCATAACTACCTAATCTCAGAATGAAAGGATATATATTTGTATCGACCCTTGTCATAACAGCAGTGTTTAATATGTATGTCGAACATATCACCCATGTCCTAACTAGGAAAACCATATACACCCGAGTTCGGAAGAGAACCATACTGGATATTGAAAACAAATGAATTAACGTGTCTGCTCGTTGCGTCTTGGTTCAGTTTGATAATTTATCATTAAGCTGACATCGTTAAAATTGTGTACCAGTTTCTGTTGTGGTGATAGATGCTTGTCTGGAACTCGGACGGCAACTAATGAAGATCGCTGTGTATGAACGAACTGAACTTGAAATAGGTCGTTAATTATTTATAGCCTTTCTAAATATAACAGACTCCAACACAATATGGAATAGATCCATGCATAATATATGAACTTTGGTCTCGGTGTTAAGTTCATCATAAATTTGTTGAATAAGTGCTCCTGTAAGTGTTGGATCCTTCGATTATTTCCAATGTCACTAACAGAAAGTATGTTCAGCTGTTATGTTATCAATAATTTAACAGGTACACCTTAACTTTGTTACTTTTTGTTTAGATGAACTTGAACGTTCTTGGAACCATTTTCAAAATGAAACACGAGTTGGACATTATACGAGAACGCCGGCTTGTATTGGCAAGTAAGTGATTATCATGTACTGATATCTTGATATATGATGATACATCCAGTTTTCAGGCTATGCATTGCAAGGTCGTGTATTTCACAGTGTGGTACAATGTTGCCAAACTCCTTTTTGGAAAGAACTTTTAGGTTGGTATCCACTGATCAAATCGACATGTTAAAACAATTATGAATTCCGAACATTTTAGCCTCGTTTTACGCTATGGTACGGTGACGTCATAATTCCATCCTCGACGATTTTTACAATAAAACGGGGAAATGATTGATAATGTTTGCAGAACAATGAAAACTAAATTTAAAAATAATCACAGTTATTTTGACCTGAATTGCAGTACCCTGGCACGTATACCTGTTCTAAATAGTGTATTGGTATTTTGTCAAAGCCTAAAATGATCTGATTTTTTTTGGAGATTGCTACAGCTTTTTAATTAAATAGTGAGAATGGTCATAGCTTTGACCATGATACTTAAATGGATCGCAGACTCGTTCAGAGTATCTTTTTACCTTACAGTTATTCGAAGCCTACTGAGAAATTCTGAAAAGCAAATCACTTTTTTATCATTCGTAACAATCGTACAATGACGATGACCTTAATATTGAGCGCAGAACATCACTAGAGATGATCTCATACCTAACACTTGCACCAGCCAAAATAGCGACTACAAAGGAGTTTCCATACGACGACCGTACGCACATACTAACGAGTAGAACCCTACGAGGAGATATTGACCTTTGTAAAACGTGTATTTTTGACATATATACAGACCACATGTGTCTAGTATCAAGAGCTCAATCGAGCCTTCAGAAAAAACTGCTTTTTTTTAGCATGTAATGCGTATTGATAATATATGTTGGCCGACTTATTTTGAATGTATACCTAGGCTTGTTCTCTTTATTGTTTTTCATTGCAGAGAAACAACGCAATACATCAACGACGCAAGAGGAATGACCTTCATGTATGATTCACGCTTCTTGTCATGGATAACGAGGAACGAAACACAATTTAGCACTGCAATGAGGATGTACTTAAAAAAAGAAGAGCCCCATTTGACATTAGGCTAGTCCTAGTAGCAAACAGTAATCCTGACCGCTTTTATATGTTTTGTTGTATCTGGATCAGTTATGGCCCATAGGTAAAATGCCGGCGTCTTTGTAATTGATTGTTTTCTGTTATTCTTCCTGGTTCTTGAAGCTTGATGAAATTCTAGTTTTACATCTAAACATTATGTAATAGGTCTTAATCAATAATGTCCATTGCTTACAAAGATGTTCTTATACTTTAGTTGACAAATGGTACACTATACCGGTATCTTTGTTGATGTTGTGTCTAAGGTTACATTGTAACTGTTGCTATATCCTGTCCTACATTTGCGTTGTTACAACTTTGTAACTTTGTTACGTTTTCATTGTTGTAATTTGTGTATGTTTGTACTTTGCTTTAGTTATAGATGTTGTCTAAGGTTACATTGTAACTGTTGCTATATCCTGTCCTACATTTGCGTTGTTACAACTTTGTAACTTTGTTACGTTTTCATTGTTGTAATTTGTGTATGTTTGTACTTTGTTTTAGTTATAGATGTTGTGTCTAAGGTTACATTGTAACTGTTGCTATATCCTGTCCTACATTTGCGTTGTTACAACTGTAGTATTATAACATATTTACAGAATCCTCGCATTGTTACAATGTATACCGTTGTTATATATTTTCGTTAGTACAACATTATTAAACTTTTTAAATACATTTGTTGTGTTGACGTATTTTGAACTGTGAGGACAAACATTTGTTATGATAATAGTGTTATACTGTGTATTCATTTATCGTATGTTGTAATTAGGTCCACATGTTATGATTCACAGTAGCAAATTCAAAATCTACTAAAGTGATATTTACAAAAAAACTCTGTGTCATGATTTCTTTTCTTTATGTAGACAAAATAGTAATGACCAAGAAATTCGTGAATAACATTTGACCGATAATCCTTTTGTGGCTTCACTCAATGCTGATGAGATTTTAAAGTAATCATTATGACATAGATTAACTCTATTTCTATTTCTATGTAAAACGCGATTAAAAACCTGATAACATTAGATATTCTATTTCTTACATTTCTTCCTTGATTTGACAGGGCGAATGATTACAGGTGCAACATGTGGTGGAAGAAATGACGGAGAAGGACATTCCAAAATAAAACTGTTTGTTTTCTTTGTTGCAGTTTGTGATGTCTTTCCGTTTGTTTTGTGTTGTCTTTTCGTATCGAACTGGAGTAACTTGTCATCGTTATATGATATTCTTTTTTAATCGAATATTTGTTTCCTAACGACTATTTGTCGTTTTTGTCATTTCCATTTATTAATCTGAGTGAATGACGCTATGTGTAATTCTTTCCAATCTGTCACTTCGCACTTCGATAATGTAACAAACATGTACAGGTTTACAGTCCAAAAAAAACACAACACGTCATTATTAGAGATATCAAGTTTCTGGGAGAATTAAGCGAAATAGTAACACGCCAAATGTATAAGTTGGTATATTCTACGACGTTGGGTAGGTGGAGATATGCCAATGTAATTCGATAACAATGTATCGTGTCTACAATAGGAAGAAAAGCGGAAGAATGTTGTTTCTACTCAACGTTACAATGTCTTTATACAATTTATTACAGTTTTGCGTGTACATTCATTTCTCTGTGAGAACGAAGATTTTGTATTGAATGAACTGACTACTTTGCTTCGTGTGATCGATTGATTTTTCATTGTCACGCCCTGATCTTACGCACATTGAGTTATTATCGCTGGGATTTTCGACGACGGAGGACTTTGACCTGTTATACGAGTTACAACATAGGTACATGGGAGATTAGTTCGATTGCAGCAATTTCATCTTTTTTAATTAATTAGTTTCACCGCCTACGTTCATTTCTGGTGCTTCCCCTTAGTCACCTACTTGTGCTGTGCCAGACAGTAATACCAGTAATGCGTCGTTGTCCAAACCAATATCGGGATATCTCAATCATTCCGATGTATCATTGTTGCGTCTGTTTCTTGCCCCTTGGATGATGCTCGGCTATGGCTTAGTCAGAAAACGGAATCTATGAAATAACAAAATGAATCGTCCTAAAAACACATATAACGTTAGGTAGATTAAACAATCGTCAGAAGTGTATGTCATTTCGGTTTAACTAGTCGTATAACGATTGTCAAACATCACCATACATGAAACGTCTTTAAAGGACATAAGAAGGTTATCAGTATTGATTGCTGCTATCGTTATAGCCTTTGTTTGAAGAACCTGACTGCGGTGCACTGGTGATTAAGTAGGTCAAACGTGATTAACCGGATTGCTCTGGACCCTGAGTAAATATTAAATGTTGCCTCTGTCGCTTCAGTCCGGACGCTGACCTAATTTCTATGGCCGTCAAAATAGTGTAATTGTGTTTTATTACGTTCTAATGGATTTAATAGTGTTTTCTATTTTAGCCCACCATCATCTGATGGTGGGCTGTTCAAATCACCCTGCGTCCGTGGTCCGTGGTCCGTCCGTCGTCCGTCGTCCGCCGTTCGTCCTGAAACAATTCTTGTTATCGCTATTTCTCAAATTTTATATGTAGGTTCCCCTTGGTCCTTAGCTGTGCAGGGCAACTTTTGAGACTGATCGGATAAACAACATGGCCGACAGGCAGCCATCTTGGATTTTGATAGTGAAAGTTTGTTATCGCTATTTCTCAAGAAATATCAAAGGGGTCTTTCTCAAATTTTACATGCCGGTTCCCCTTGGTCCTTAGCTGTGCAGGGCATTTTTTGAGAGTGATTGGATGAACAACATGGCCGACAGGCAGCCATCTTTGATTTTGATATAGAAAGTTTGTTATCGCTATTTCTCGAGAAGTATCGGAGGGATCTTTCTCAAATTTTATATGTAGGTTCCCCTTGGTCCTTAGCTGTGCAGGGCAACTTTCGAGACTGATCGGATAAACAACATGGCCGACAGGCAGCCATCTTGGATTTTGATAGTGAAAGTTTGTTATTGCTATTTCTCGGGAAGTATAAGAGGGATCTTTCTCAAATTTTATATAATTAATAATAATAATAATTGGAGGTTCTTATATACCGCTTTATCACAACCTAGTTTGTAGGTCGTCTCAAAGCGGTTCACAAATTATTATCCGTGGTTATAGGGCCTTTGCAGCTAGCCAGTACATTTCTCAACTCCCCTGGGAGCATACAGCCGGAGCTGCCATTTCGGCGCTAACAGCTAGCATTCAACAATTCTAGCACTGCCCAACCACGTACTCATTTACATCTGAGTAGACTGGAACAAGCGGAGTAAAGTATCTTGCTCAAGGATACAACACATTGCCGTGCCGTGGCTCGAACCCGCAACCCTTCGGTCACGAGCCCGGCGTCCTACCACTGGACTACCGTGCCTCCTTGGTCCTTAGCTGTGCAGGGCAACTTTTGAGACTGATCAAACAACATTGCGGACAGGCAGCCATCTTGGATTTTGATATTGAAAGTTTGTTATCGCTATTTCTCA